AGATTATTGAGAAGATTAATCCGGTGGCGTATCAAGTTGCGCTTCCTCCTGAAATGGAGCATATGCATAACGTGTTCCATATTTCAATGTTGAGGGAATACCTTCGGGATCCCTTCCATGTGATTGAGCCTACCCGTGTAATGCTAAGTGATGACTACACTTATGAAGAACGACCTATTCAGATTGTGAACAGACGGATCAAAAAATTGAGAAACAAAGAGATTCCGTTAGCAAAAGTTGACTGGAAAAACCATGGTGGCGTGTATGCCACTTGGGAGAGGGAGGATGATATGATAAAAAGATATCCTGACTTGTTTCCACTGAATCCTGTTTTCTTCCAAAATGAAGGTAATTCGAGTTTGGAGGACCAAACTCTTTATAAGGAGGGGAGACTGTGACAACCCTCACCACTGTTTACTGATAAACCACTGATTACTGTTAAACTGAGACTGATTATGATAATCGACTGAATTGACTGAAATCCTGAACTGATTGATTGTATATATATGTTTAAGTGCATTTCTATCTGTTCGATTGTTAAACTATCTGTTCACGTTTTATGTTTAAACTGCAAATTGAAGGCCTTATCGGCGGCCGAACCAGAAATGAATTAGTGTTATGTGATGATTAGAATTTATAGGATTTTATGGTATAATTACTTGAATTTGGATTTGGTATGATTAAATTAGATTAAAATAAGTTAAATTACACAAGTTGTCTTATTTACCATATTGCCATGTTAGTGGACCATTTAGGCAATACATGTTGAGCCTTATTACATGCAAACACAACATTTCTTCAGCCCATTCTTCTGATCATGGCCGACTAGAGAGGGAGAGAGATAGGAGAGAGCTTGTTTCCATCTCAAATTGGCTTAGAGACTTGGAGAATTAGTAGAAGATTTGCAAAATTGAGCTTCTAGGCTTAGAATTGGAGACCTAAGGTAGAGAATTCAACCTCTCTTTGATGTATGTGTGTGTTGTCTTGCATGATCCACGAGAGATTAGAGATTCTAGCTAAGAGTTGGTTCATAATGTTGAATTGTAGCATATATCATGCATGCATGTCTACATTGTTGCATTTTGAGGTTGATTACATGGAATTTGGTACATGCATGTTCATGTTATAGTCCATGTTTTCATCTTGTTTTTGGAAGTTGAGGCTCATTGGAGCAAGTAATTGAAGCTTTGAATTGGTTTAAACTCATACATGTCATGTTTGAGTTATGTTCATGAAAATTGGTTTGAAATTGGATTTAATTGAACTACTTTTGGGATTTGATTTCTCAAATTGATCTTTGAAACATGTTATACTATGAGTTTTGAAGTGTTTTTCAGAAAATTAGCCCAAAATGAACGAATTTGGTACATTGAAACTTGTTTTTGAGCTTGAGGTTCAAATATGGAAATTCCAGATTTTGGACTCACGCTCGAGTGGAGTGACTGGCGCTCGAGCGTGAAATTTGTGCAGTGACTGGCGCTCGAGCGTGAAATTTGTGCATCCAGCACTTTACACTGTTTTACAGTCCGCTCGAGCGGGGTATTGGACGCTCGAGCGAGGACTTGTGTCACACGCTCAAGCGGGTATCGAGCGCCCAATCGAGCGTGATTTTCACACATCCAGTATTTTTGGCATGTTTTATAGTCCGCTCGAGCGGGGTAACTCGCGCTCGAGCGGAGTATTTTGTTTGCCTGTACGCTCGAGCGAGTAGACCCACGCTCGAGCAGGACCCCTGTTTTCTGAAAATTTGTTAAGTGTTTTAAAAGTGCATCTTTGCATCCTCATTTCATCCTAGGCATTCTTAGGCCTAGTTTAAGGCATCTTAATGAGGATATTGATGTAAAACCACACTGAGTCAAGATAGGGATTAAGTTATTATTTTTCCAACTGTGTAGCTTAGTGTGTGTTCACTTTGTAACTGTGTAGGGTTGGTATCCGAGGACGCGTACTAGCTTATTTGTAGCCTAGAACTCTGTGCAATGTTGTAAAGATATGTTCAAAGATGAATATTTTCTGAATGTTTAACTGAACTGCTTTTTGAATTGATACTGTTAACTGAATGAATGTGTGTCCTCTATTTTGAACTGTATTGTGGCATCCATAGCAATCATTGTTACTGCTACTGTTACAGAGATCTCTATCAGTTCCTATCTTGGAACTTCTGTTTACTGTTATGATGGCCATCATTGACTGTTTGGTCTTTTAAGACCTACTGTTTACTGTATTGTTCTGCTATTGGATGTACCACATATGACTGTTATGACTGAATGACTGATGTACTGAATCAATCGGCTGTTTTCTATACTAAAAGGACATTCATTCTTAACCTCTTTACGATTTATGTTATTCACTGGGTTTTAGCTCACTGCTCATATATATATGTAGGTGTACAGACATCGGACCGTTGCTAGAAGTGTCGGGGTAAACTCCAGTTTTGTTAAGCCAACCACCGTGCCTTACTGCGAGGTTCCAAGTCCTTCAAGCCAGGGCTTTTGGGGTGTTTTAGTTTCCCCCTTTTTGTATCCATTTTGTAAATTACTGTATAGACTGAATGGTTGTACTATACTGTTTTAAATAGGGATTAAGTCTCTGTCCTGAATGATTGTATATATTGTACATACTGTTTTGGTACTAATTGTATATGTGTATATGATATGAAAAGTCTTTTTGCATGTAAATTGTCACAGCTCATTGGACATATTTTAATTATTGTATTGGCTTTCGCCAGCCCCTGTACTCTGAATTACTGTTTTACTGTTAAGCAGGCATTCGGTAATCTCGGATTACTGGCCAGTTACGGTGCTAAATCCATAAGGGCGGGTTTGGGTCGTGACACGTCTTTACTGTGTGACTTGTCATGCGGTAAAGAACACTTCACCTCTTGAACCTACCTCAAAAGACGTGTGGACCCCACTCAAATTTGATTTTAAAATTGGCCCAAAATAAACATATAAAAAATGATAATTCCAACAATTTTAACTTAAGATTGTGATGCCAAACGAAGGTATTATGCCATCACAAGTTTTGATTTCAAGCTTACATTAGCCATGTTTAGACAGTAAGATTTTTGGTTAAAATGTCAAAAAAATCATTACAAATTATAAAAATTTTAATTTTATTTTTTGAACATCTTTCTTTAAAAAAAAATAAAAAATTATTAAAAAAATAAATTCTTTAATTTACCTCTTGCATGACGCGGTGCCTTTAGGGTGGTGAATAAATTCTCCATTGATCTACATCTTGGAGATCTTCCTTGTACCCATCTGCAGAAGTAGGGTTTCAAAATTTTATTTTTTGAACATCTTTCTTTAAAAAAAAATAAAAAATTATTAAAAAAATCAATTCTTGATTTACCTCTTGCCTGACGCGTTGCCTTTAGGGTATTGAATAATTCTCCATTGATCTACATCTTGGAGATCTTCCTTGTACCCATCTGCAGCAATAGGGTTTCAAAATTTATGCAGAGAGACTACAGAGAGGGAGATGAGAGATTTGAGACGGGAGATAGAGAATGGGACACGGGGAGTGAAGAGAAAGATCGATTGAAAAAAAAAAAAAAAGTGAAGAGAATGAGTGATTATTATTGTTTCACAATATTTATTATTTGATATTTCTCAAAACTTTAATAAAAATTAAATTTCACAATTTTAACTAATAAATATCAAATTAAAATACCATATAGATTTGTTTCAAGATCACTACATAATTTTTCGAGCGTAATTGTTTGAGATTTTTTTTTTTGTTACATTTTTATTGGTTTACTTTTATTTTTAGTGATTTTTTTAAAAATTCTTTAAAAAGTTTTAAATTTGTGAAGTATAGGCTAAGTTTGAGGTGTATTTGATCATATTATATCTTTATTTTTTTGTATATTTTTTCATAAAAAGTTAAAAAGTGTATTTATTTAAATCATTCCAAACTATCCCTTACTTAATAAAATGAATTCGAAAATTTAAAAGACAAAAATCAAAATAAAAAAGAAAAAAGAAAAAAGCAGTGGGTCCCTTTTTTATACTTATTTTGACTTTTAATTTTTTTAAAAAAATTTACTTATTTAAATTTTATCAACGCACGGCAAATTGGGGAAAAAAAAGTAACATAATTTTTTAAAATCTCAACAAAAAAAAAATAAAATAAAATAAAGAAATGAGATGATATTTTCAATGATATATGAACTGTTCATTTTGTAAAATTCTCAATATTTATCATTCATAAAAAAATTAGATCAATTTGATAATCATAATTTTTTTTTATTTTATCTTGTTTGTCTCTAAATTATGAATAGTTTATTTTCAAAATATATTTGTCATCTATTTTTTCGAAGACAAATATGATAGAATGAAAGTGTTATGATTATCAGATCGAATTGATTTTTTTCATAAAAGATATACTGAAAGTTTTATAAAATAAATTATTCAAATTATTAAAACGGGACTAGTGATAAGTTCCATGAACCCAAAGGGAGATGTGTTCTCCCTTCCGTACGGTTACAAACAAATCAAACTATTAGCGATCTCAGCTCATTAAGTAAATGAACAAATTTGAGTTAGATTTTTAACCTCGTTTATTAAACGAGCCGAACTCAAGTTTAAATAAATTTGATTCGTCAAGTTTGGTTCATTTATTTTTATTTATATTATTTATATATTTAAATAATAATAATTTGTTGTTGAGTTTTGAGTCTAAGTTTAAACTCGATTAATGTTACGAGTCAAATTGAATTTAGCCTCTGTTTAGGAAGATGAGTTAGGTTGGGTTTGAGATTATTTTAATTATAAAAAGACAAAATAGATTTTTTAATCTAATAAAACAAAACATTATATTCAACCCATAATTATTATATTCTTTCTCTCATAAAAAATTAAAAAAATTAAAAAATTCTTCATGAACAAAATTTTTTAATCCCAAACTAAAATAATAAAAAAAAAAATTACCATTTCGAAAGAACAGTCTCGATTGGGAGCTCGAATTTGAGCCCCCCGAATCCCTCGAATTTCTTTTTTTTTTTTTTTCAGAAGAAGAAAATCAGAGGAAGAAGGAGGAGAAGAAGAAGGAGAACAAGAAGAACTGGAGGGAAATGGGCCAATAAAATCGGGCTGGAGGCGGAGGCGGGACCGGAGGCGACGGCGGGGCTGGGGCTGCGATGAGCTGCTGCTGCAACGATCGGAGCTGCTGCAACGGCGGGGCTAGGCTGCGACGACGACCGGGCTGGGCGACGATCGGCGATCGGCGAACCTCTCTTCTCTTTCTCTCTTCCCCTCTTCTTCTCTCTTTCTCTCCCTCTTCCTCTCTGCGACGAAAATGGAAAATGGAAAAACGACTGGAAAATGGAAGAAAAAAAAGAAAAAAAAATGCCCAAAACGACGTCGTTTTGGGCATTCGGGCGATTCGGGGGGAAAAGTTTCGAGCTACAAAACATTAATCTTCGAAAGAATCCTTAAATTGTGTAGTTGAGTTCACGACTGGCCTCAGTCATTTAAAGTGTCAGACAAACGAGGGTAGCTTGTTGTCCTTCACGTGGAAATCTGACAAGAGTCGTTAGAGAGTCAAATTACAATATGGTTTGTAACCAAAAAAAATTACAATATGGTCCAAAAGTACTTGCAAAATTACAAATTTGTACCGCAATAAAAAAAATTAAAAAAAAAAATCAACACCACAAAAAATAAAAGGATGAATTACACTTTATCTCCCTATGATTTCATGCAGTTAGACATTATTTTTTTGAGATTTATAATTATACTCATAAACTTCTTGTAATTTGGAGCGATGTGCAAAAATCACAAGATCTGATAAACTAAACAACGCATGTGGCAAACGTACCAGAAAAGCGTGTCTACACTAGAATTTAGTGTTTTGGCGCCAAATTCCGGGTTCAAGGTGACCAATTTGCCCCTCCAATCCCTTATGGGTTCATTTGGGAAGTGAGTTGGTTTTTTAGCTTTATGACTTTTTAACTATTTTAACCTAAGTTAAAAAATCTCGTTTGGGAATGGCTTTTTGACCTTTTTAACTGTTTATGAGAAAGAATGTAATGATCATAGGTTAGATGTGATGTTTTGTCTTATTGAATTAAAAAACTTATTTTGTCTTTTTGTAATTGAAATAGCCCCAAACCCAACCCAACTCTTCTTCCCAAACGAAGCCTATATAACTGTTGGCTTATTTTTCCTATGAAGGAAAATACCATAAATGCGAGCGTGCCAACAATGATTGAAAAATCCTTACAGATTAAATTCAAACCAATTATCAAGCGATTGCGTTAACGGTTCTTTTGCCTCAACAAAGAGGACTTCAAAATTGACAAGTGTAGAGAAAAGAAAAATTAAAAGAAGAAAGAGGGAGACGAAAAAAGACGATTGAGTGAACAATCAAAGTAATAATTACTTACCTCTACTCCTATGCTTCGAAAAGGAAGTGCATAAAATGCTTTGAAAAGGAATGCTGAAAATAAGTGCTTCGAAATATAAATCTATGTTAAACTACTCCTAAGATAAGGAAAATGATAAGAAATATTAAAATCAATTGTCTTTGATTGTGAATTCTCCATCTTTTACAATATAGCCATGAATGGCTATTTATAGGTAAATATTTGTAGAAAAAAATATCCAGCAATAACTATCCAATAACCACTTAAAACTACCCACTATTCCATCTTCATTCCCACAATGCCAAACATCCCTTAATGTCTTCATAACTTTCTTTAACCTCCAATTCATGCTCTATGTTCTTCATTTTATTCTCCATCATCTTTTCACATTTCATAACTTATCATAACCTCCAAGTGAGTAGGAGGATGCCACATGTCCTGCAATTATATAAATAATAAATAATAATAAAAATTACAGATTTATGGTGCCAACATTACCCCCTGCGGCCCTTCAAAATGATATTTACTTGAATTTTTGAAAGGCCGAACCAAGCACGTGACTAATCTAAGCAATAAAGTGCTTCGAATAATATCAACAAAGTGCTTCAAATGATATAACAGCACCAATAAAGTGCCTCGAATGAGCATGAAATTATGACTAGATGTTGTGAATTATATATATACGCATTGAAATGATATTATTGTTGAAAAGCTTCGAAGGATAACCACATATTTTCAAGGTAAAGCCAATGATTCACCTTAGTATATTGTTACACATGCTAAATAACCAGCTTCGAAGGTGGTGTAAAGGACCCAAATCATCATTCGAAGGTCAAAAGTGCCGACAAAGGACGAATTACATCATTGGAAATACTTGGCAAAGCTTCGAAGGTTCACAACCATCACTATTTTCTCTTCGAAGCTGTTGTTGATGCAAGATGGAGTGCTTCGAAGCTTACAAAATTATGGCAAAAGGGCTTTCGAAGGAGCTTTTGGCCAATATTGTGGTTATTCAAATTTTGTATGTTTTGGTTCACACATAATTAATTAAAATATTAATTTTATGCTTTAAACCAATTATTAATTCTCCGAAGACACCAAAATTGTTGTTTTTCGAACCAACTTTTGTAGAATACTAGTTACATTTTCATGTAACAAATGGCTATAAAAATGGTTATCAGTAAAGCCACTAATTATCATGCAAGAAATAGGCATTATTCGATAATTAATTAATTTCCATTTTACATATATTTGATGGGAGGTACACATTTTGAAAGTTTTCTCGTCTCATGTTACATTTCAAAGGTATTTATTGATGACAAAACCGCCTTTCGAAAGTTACATATGTTACTAAAGGATCAAAGTCGTCCTTCGAAAGTGCTCACGACACCTCTTCGAACCAAATCCAAAGAATTGGATTACTATGAAATTAGTTTGGCATTTTAACTAGCCATTAATGGCTATAAATTGATATTTCAATAAATAACATGCTTCGAAGTGTCTTGAGACATGCTTCGAAGGTAACCGCAAAATCAAATGGTGATGGTTTTATGGATCAACTAATCACAATATTTTTAGCTCAATATATTGCAATAACGAAATATTATGTATTAGCTATTCCATCAAAGTCAACGTTTGATGTGATCTACAAATCTAAAATGAATTTCGAACAACAAAAGTCATGGTATAGTGTGACCATGAAAATTCTTACTTTTTGACACTTTGAAAAATATCAAAATTTTGAATTCATGAACAATGACTTTTTCATTATTCTTGACCATGTTAGTTTTAAAAACATGACTTTTGCTGAATTGATTTTCATAATTATTTGGTAAAGTGAGTTGTTTTTCCATATTGGCCATTAATGGCTTATGAAAATCACCCATGGATATGTTATTTTCATGATTTGACTCTCTAAAAATTGGTTTTGAGACCCCCCAAGCCATGCATAAAACATCATTCTTAGCCAAATTTAGCTCAAGAACATGCTCTTTTGTTATGTTAATTTCATAATTTGGCTCTTTAAAAACAGAATCTTGAACCCCCCGAGCCATTGATGAAATCAACTCTTTACTTTTGCTATTTTTAACCATGAAAAAATTCTGAAAAAATTCACCAATTCCGGGCATTAAAGCCTCAGTTAAAGACTTGGTAGTGAGAATTGATAACTCATCATT